AAGAGGAGGAGGAGGAGGAGGAGGAGGAGGAGGAGGAGGAGGAGGAGGAGATTGGATTCAGTCTCTTCTCTTCTTCTTGTATACCCCACCCTTCACTACCTGAAGGAGTCTCAGAGTAGCTTACAATCTCCTTTCCCTTTCCCTCCCCACAACAGACACCCTGTGAGGGAGGTGGGGCTGAGAGAGCTCTTTCGAGAACTGCTCATGACGGAACAGCTCTGAAAGAATTTAGGAATGACCCAAGGTCACACCAGGAGACCCGTGTGGAGGAGTGGGGGAATCAAACCCGGTTCTCCCAGATTAGAGTCCACACTCCTAACCACCACACCAAACTGGCTCTCTGGGCTCAGTGGAAGAGTCTCTGCTTAGCACCCAGAAGATCCCTGGTTCAATCCTCCCTGGCATCTCCTGTTAATGATGTGACGGACCTCACCCTGAGACCCTAGAAAGCTGCTGCCAGTCCGGGTAGACAAGACTAACCTTGATGGATTCAGGAAAAGGACACTTCATGTCTGTGTGTATGTCCCTCACAACATCTCTGTGCAGTAGGTTGGGCCTAGGGGTTTCTCTCCCCTAGTCATCGAGGAAGACTCACCTGTGGCGACCAGGATGGCAACAAGGGAGAGAGTGAGCAGATTCATGATCCTGGGAGGGAAGGGATCCTGGTTCCGGCAGCTGCAGGTATGGAATGATAAGAGATTAGCCCGGGAGAGAATCTGTACAGCAAGTGGACGCAACGAGACTCAGATGTACAGCGGCAGCAGGGAAGCGCTACGGAATCAGGTGGCCATGAGTTCCCCAAGACCTGTTCTTTTGGTACCTCTGGAGTCCCGCTCCTCTGCGATCACACACAGTAAATAATCCACTTTCAATCCGCTTTCGGTGCACTTTCAAGTTGGATGTTGCCAGTTCGCACAGTAAAACCCAGTTGGAAAGTGCATTGAAAGTGGATTGTTTACTGTGTGTGACCGCAGCCTGACATTTGCGCCGCTGTCTTACCAAACCCACGCGGGAACAGAAAAACTCCTCTTCATCGCATGCCACTTTCACTTTGATGGACTGTCAGATTTTATGGCAGTGTCCAGACTGCATGCTGCTTTCACTTCCTTTGATCTCTCCGGTTTTATGGTGGCCGTTTGCATATTTATGGCATTTTATGGCCATTCAGGGGTGACTCTGCAATCCATACGGCATTGGGCTGAGGTATTTGAAAGTGGATTTGATCTGCCTCTTTTCCTGTTCCGGTGTGGGTTTGGTAAAACGGCGGAGCTAATGCTAGACTGAAATGATGTGATGGAATACAAGAGAAGCGTTTGCACTGACAGTTTTCTACCGAAAAGTGCGCCAGGGATGCTGCAGCACATTGGCAAGCCGCACACAGGGGCATGCCCCAGAATTCGCATGGGCTGCCTGGCAGACCCCAAAGAGGGTCCTGAGAGGCCAGGCCACTGTAGAAAAACATTCCCTGTAAGAAGGTTTGAAAAGCACTGGGGTTGGGCAAGCATGTGTGTCTGTGCGTGCATGCAGGCATGTATCATGTGCTTGTTAGAACAAAGGTTGGAGAGTTTAGAGTGGAGGAATGAACCTAGGATTGCAGTGTGTGTGTGCGTAAAGTGCCACACAGGGCGTAAAGTGCCACACAGGGCATAAAGTGCCACACAGGGCATAAAGTGCCACACAGTGCATAAAGTGCCACACAGTGTGTCAAGTGCCATCTAGTTGCAGCCTACTTATGGCGACTCCAGCAAGGGGCTTTCAAGGCAAGTGAGAAGCAGAGGTGGTTTGCCATTGCTTTCCCTTGTGGCCTCCCTTCCAGGGACCGACCCTGCATAGCTTCCAAGATCTGATGAGACACGGCCATACCCAGTGTTCCCTCTAAGCTGAGTTAGTGTGAGCCAGCTCACCGTTTTTAAGCCGCAAGGTCACACATTTTTTGTCCTAGTTCGGGAAGGAGGGCTCCAGAGCAAACTAATCTATGCAGCCGCCAAATCGCTCGCTCCCAACTTTAATGCCAGCAGCTCATAAAGCAGAATTTTTGCTCACCGGACCCCACAGCTTAGAGGGAGCATTGGCAATACCAGGCCACCTTCCCTATCAAAGACTGCAATGTGAATGTGGCAAAAAGTCAGAAGTTTAGGGCAATGTTCCCTCTAAGCTGTGGAATCTTGTGAGCAAAAATTCAACTTTGTGAGCTACTGGCATTAAAGTTGTGAGCGAGTGACTTGGCTGCTGCATAAATGTTTGCTTCGGAGCCATCCTTTCTGAGCTAAGACAAAAATGTGTGAGCCGGAGGCTAAAAAACTGTGAGCTAGCTCACACTAACTCAGCTTAGAGGAAACATTGGTTTAGGGTACCCGCCGCCCCCACACACTAACAGCCCCACCATCGAGGCACAAATGCAAGGGAGAAGACCGACGGATATTCCTATCTAAGCATTCATCTCTTACCTGTTTGTTGGGTTCTCGACGGATTGGATGAAGGTAGAGAATGCTTGAGTCTGGTCTCCTATATATATACCTATACACCCAGCCGTGGAAAAATACTGGCTAGAGAAAAAAAGGAGCACAAATGTGGGTTCAGGGAGGAGGCTGTTTTACAATCAAGGTCCGGGGGAATCCCCCAAATTACAAGGGAACAGGAATATTTCCTTCTGTTGGATGTTTATATTGAATAAAAGTGCCACCTTTGATAAGAGAATACATAGCAGGGAACAATGACTCTCCTGGACTTTTTATTAGCCCATTAACGCTCCGAAGTGAAGGTGATAAAATGAAAGGTGGGGTGCTTATGGTTCTGCCATTGTTGACCGCCCGGCCCCCCTTCTTGGCTTCCCACCCTCTCCCCATCCCCAGTAGCGCCCAGCAGCTGCAGGTGAATTCTGAGAAGCGGAGCAACAAGAGGGAATTTTACCCTTTCCTTTCCTGACATTTGTCCCACTCTGAATGGGACAGGAAGGCTGATTTCGCACTACATAAGAACATAAGAGACACCAGTGTTGGATCAGGCCAAAGGCCCATCCAGTCCAACACTCTGTCACACAGTGGCCAAAAATACCAGGTGCCATCAGGAGGTCCACCAGTGGGGCCAGGACATTAGAAGCCCTCCCACTGTTGACCACCCCCAGCACCAAGATGACAGAGCATCACTTGGCCCCAGAGCCCCTGTCTATACCTTGTGGCTAATGGCCACTGATGGACTTGTGCTCCATATGCTTATCTAATTCCCTTTTGAAGCCGTCCATGCTTGTAGCTGCCACCACTTCCTGTGGCCGGATTTCCCCCGCAGTTTCGTGATCCTGTTTTTTGAGGCTCATAAAACTGCGGAGGAAATCGGGCGAAGCCGCGGGTCAAATGCAGCCCCGCAGCTTCGGGTGTGAAATTGACAAATAGTGTCGGGGCAAACGGCGGCGCAACTGCGAGGCAGCTCTAGTGCGAAATCAGCCAAACTTTTGCCACTGCAAAGGAAGAAAAGAGGCAGGCAAAGAGAGAGAGACTCTCCTCCCCTTACAAGAGGCGCCTTCACACACACTAAAGAATGCACTTTCAATCCACTTTTCGACTGGGGCTGATTCTGCACCCATCTGTTTCCTCGCAGTTTTCCCACAGCCACGTCGCGAGGTTAATCTCCCTGTAGATGGCATGCTGCTGTCACTTCCTTTGTTCGTTGGGTTTTATGATACCTTCTGCATAGATTTATGGTCGTTCAGGGGTGACTTCGCAGTCAGTACGGCAGAGCCCCGGAGTATCTGAATGTGGTTTTCAGCGGCACTTTTTCCTTCCTCCGCTTCTGATTTCAAGGGAACACTAAGCAGATGACTTGACATGGTGTCGTGGTTAAGTGCGCGGACTCTAACCTGGGAGAACCGGGTTTGATTCCCCACTCCTCCACTTGCACCTGCTGATGTGACCTTGGGTCAGTCACAAGCTCTGGCACAGCTGTCCCTGAAAAAGAGCAGTTTGTGTCAAAGTTCTCTCAGCCCCACCCACCTCACAGGGCGTCTGTTGTGGGGAGGGGAAGGGAAAGGAGTTTGTAAGCCGCTCTGAGACTACCTTGGGTAGTGAAGGGCGGGGTATAAATCCAATCTCTTCTTCTTCTTCTTCAATTACCTCCGTCCTCCCCCGCCCCTATTTCCCCCTCTGTATTTATCACCTCACCATGAATTACTTGGCTCAGGCGCCTCATGACCGCTGTGGCAAATACTGACACAGGAAAATCTGCATACCAGATTGAATGAGAACAGATATTCCGAGGCAAGGGGGAAATCAGGTCGAGTGCTGAGAAAATGCGGAGCGAATGCCAGATGCAGAATGGACTTGGATTTTACCATGTGGAATGGCAAAAATCCACTCGCAAACGATTACTGGACTGAAACAGCATTATTTAGCATGAGTGAAAGCACCCAAAGGCTGCAGTCACACAAAGTAAATAGCCCACTTGCAATCCACTTGCAATGCACTTTCCAACTGGATCTTGCCAGATCACAGTAAAATCTAGTCAGAAAGTGCATTGCAAGTGGATTAAAAGTGGGTTATTTACTGTGTGTGACCGCAGCCCAAGTTAATAACAGCTTGGGGGGGGTTGATCCACTGAACCATATTGGGGTATTTAACCCCCCCCCCATTCCCAAAGCCGTCTGAATCAGGGGTGATAATTCCATATAGGATTGCCAGCTCTGGGATGAGAAATTCCATGAGATTTGGGGGCGGAGCCTGGGGAAGGCGGGGTTTAGAGATGGAATGGAATTCAGCAGAGTGTCCACCCTCCAAAGCAGCCATTTTCTCCAGGGGAGACTAGTAGAATGCCAGGTCCCTCTTGGAGGATGATACAAAAAAAAGGGGGCGGGATCCTCTGTATAATTTAGGGTTGCCAGCCTCCAGACGGGCAACAAACACACAGGAAACACAGCAAGGTTGAGCAAATGTGTTAAAACACCATGTTAGAACAAAACACACAGCTGTGGACTTTTCTACTAGATATATAATGTTCTTTAGGTTTTTGTAGTATAATGAATAAGATGCACTAGGGTCTCTTTTGGTGTAGTTTGGTGCCAGTTTGGTGTCGTGGTCAAGTGCGCGGAGTCTAATCTGGGAGAACCGGGTTTGATTTCCCCACTCCTCCGCTTGCACCTGCTGGGTGACCTTGGCCAAGCCACAGTTCTGTCAGAGCTGTTCTCTCAAGGACAGTTCTTGAAAGAGCTCTCTCAGCCCTGCCTACCTCACAGTTTGTCTGTTGTGGGGAGGGGAAGGGAAAGGAGTTTGTAAGCAGCTCTGAGACTCCTTTGGGTAGAGAAGGGTGGGGTATAAATCCAATCTCCTCCTCCTCCTCC